AGCCGGGAAGGCTGAGAATCTTACTGGCTGTCACCCGGGCTTACCCGGATCCTCACTCACCAGCAATTACTACCGCGGGCTGCGAGGTCAGGGGCGGGCTAGCACCTGGGGATTTGTTGCAGCAGGGCAGGGCTGGGCCTGGGAGAAGAGGTCAGCTACTGCTGGGAGCTCTGACTTTGACCACGAGGGAGTGTGGATCTGAAAGGTCCAGACTTTGGATTTCTAGTCTTTTAGGAGTTCTCAGTGGGTGTGGTTACAGAGCGTTCATGATTTTAGATACGGATTCTGTGCACTTCTCTTTCGGTTATACTTCACAACCGAGCGACAGGTGGCCCCTTTCTTATCTGACTGATGGTAACATTCTTTCTTATCCTTCATCTGGTCAATCAGGGGAGGAATAAAATGGGTTAAACAGAAATCAAGACTAAAAGAGGGAGAGGTTGAGTCAGATCTGCCCCCCACCCCCTTAAGTGTTTTTATCTTCTGTTGGGATGAATCTTGCTAAAACTGACCAATATTGAAGGCCAGAAGAAAGGGTTTAGCAAACCAGTACATTCTTGCCTGATTATCAGTGTTCTGTTGTAAATGCTAAGAGGCTCCAAAATACGGACCTTCTAGACACAAACCTTCAGTTATCCACTTGGAAAGTACAGATCGTGACAACGCTACAAGCTCCTGAAAAAAGAATTCGCGAAAGAACCCTAGGTAAATCTGAAATTGGATTCAACACAGGGTTAGCACTCATGTTTTTCTGATGAATGAATGGCTTTCCACAGATCTTCAAAAGCTTATTTGACCCAATGAGGTTAAGAAGCACTGAAGAAGGAGCCTAAAAAGAAAACCCAGGTCATGAACTTTAGAGTTCTTACTCACCTGCAGAGGAGAGGGAAGGAATCTTGCCCTGTATGTTTTATTTGCATATACTAGTGGTTCTTAACTAAGAGCCATTTTGCTCTCTCCCCTCTCCCCAGGGCAACGTCTGAAGACATTCTTGGTTGTCACACCTGGGGGAATGCTACTGATAAGAGGGACTTCTTTTTGGAGTCCAGGGATGTTGCTAAACATCCTACAGTGGAGTTCACCACCCTTCCAAGGTTTTGTATGTGACTCAAAACGTACATTTATAAGTAAACCACCATGTGTACAAAACATATGCATCTCCATATATTTAGATGTGTGTGCAAGTCTTGTAAGTAGCACATTATTCTTGAGTGTATAACTCAACTCCACTGAGATATTGTAGAAGCAAGGGTATTTTTTTAAAAAAGAATGATTTATTTAGTTTTATTTATCATTTTAAAATTTACAACAGGGCACATGCACCCACCAGAAAGACACAGAGAAAGTAAGAAAATAAGCCACCAGGTCCAGGACTTGAACCATGGCTAGCCCTGTGGGAGTGCAGTGCACTAATCACCATGCCACCTGCCAGCTCCACAAGGGTCTATTTTAAAATAGGGTTTGGGACCAGCTGGTAATGTGGTGGTTAAGGCAACTAGATCCCACATGGCCAACTGTGTGATTAAAGTCCTGGACCCAGAGGCTCTGAAAAACACTCTGGGCATATGTGTGTGCATGCCCAAAATCCCGACAGAAGGGATTGTGATGTGGCTATCCCCACTGTAGGGTGCTTTCTGACTTTCACTATCTTTCTCTCTCTGTCTTTTTTTTTTTTTTTTTTTTCACACTATAGGGCGCATGTGCTTGCCCGACATACAGAAAGAGACAGAGAGACAGAGAGACAGAAAGCGAGAAATCACTCCCCTGAGGGGATGGCAACGCCGCAATCTCTCCTCCTTCATTCTCCTCTTGGGATTTTGGGCACGCACGCACACATGCCTGGCATGAGTTTTAAGCCACCAGGTCCAAAACTCAACCACGGTGGGCTACATGGGAGTTCAGTGACATAGCCATTACGCTAACTGTTGGTCCCTCTCCTCTGCCTTTTTCGTTCTCTCTCTCTCTCTGACAAACACATACACCCTATAGCAAAAACAAACAAACAAACAAACAACAAAAACACCTCTCCCCCCCACCCCCCCCTTTTTTTAAAAGCTCTCTTTTTCATTCCTTTATGTTTTCAGACAGAATTCATCCAGCCAGGTCAGGCATCCACACAGCACACAGTTGTAACACAAATAGACTCAGAAGGGAGACAAGTTCTCACTGACTGCTGAGGCTATCAACAGTTCAAAAGAAAACAAAAATCCTTAAATCTGGAAAACAAAGCATAAAAGAAAATCAGTAATGTTTTAGTCAAAATTCATACAATTCTGTTTCACCAGTTCAGTCTCATGTTATTAGCCTCTTTTCTGTTGAATTTGCAGTGTTACTGTGGTCTGATCTTTCCATTTAAATCCTGGAAGTTCAGAAATATGATCTCAAAGTTATCAAAAACCTATATTCAAGGTGCTTATCAGAGTCTTTTTCATTAATTTTTTTATTGTAGCCTATTAAAAAATGTTTTAGAAAGAGCATCAGAATAGAGTAATTAACTATGGATGAGACTTAAAATGGCCATGGTTCAAGACCTGATTTTACATAACCCAAAATTGACAAATTTGGTCATTTCTGTGACAAACTACATTGGAACTATGTAGCATTACAAGTATGACTAATATACTATTACTTAACAGATATTTAAGAATCTCATACAAATTTGGAACACCCATTGACACAAATTTCTATACACTGGGGGCTAAGCACCATTTCATATTTGACAATGTTCCCCATATAATTTCCCCAACAATTAGTTTGTTACAGTCTATCTCTCCTTTTAGATTTGGTAGTCTTTCCTTTACATATTTGATGCTCTTGTGTCACATGCATTTATTTATAAGCACTGTATCTTCTTGATAAACTGGTCCTTTTACTACTACTTAATGCCCTTTTTTGGTCTCTTCTTACACTTTCTGTCTTAAAGTCTAATTTGTCTGAAATCAGTATTGCAACTCCAGCCCTTTTTTGGTTTCCACTTGCATGGAATTCCTTTTTCTAGCCCTTCATTTTTAGTCTATGTATGTTTTTATCCATGAGGTGTGTTTCCTGTAGGCAACAGAGAGAGGGTTTCTGTTTTTTAATCCACTCAGCCAGTCTGTGTCTCTTGATTGGAGAAGTTAATCCATTAACATTCAATGTTATTATTGATACTTCTGGACTTGTCTCTACCACTATGTTAGCCATTTTCTTGGTTGTTTTTCATTCTCTTATTTCTATCTGTCTCTCTTTAGTTTTTCTGGTATAGTACTCCCTTCAAAACTTTTTTTTCTATGTCATTACTTTTATTTTTAATGTCCAGAACTTGCAAGGCAAGGGCCAGAGCTTCCTTCCAGACATAAAAATTTTATAAATTCTCAATTGGCTGGTGTGGCCAATAGGGGTACTTCTTCTTGTCTAATGTGGTTTCTGGGAAGACTTCATTCAAGTCCTCAATGGTCATCTGATCTAATGGATTTATGTTCTTCATCTTCTCCAGCTGTTTCTGATATTCTTCAATCCTAGCCTTTGAGAGGGACACAAACTCAGCACAACTTTTCACATCTTCCTTTTCTTCAGCGTCTACCTCGACAGTGTATTTATCCTCCAGCACAGGAACCTTCAGGGCATTAAACTTCTCTAAGTTACCCACCAAGCCCGCCTTGGCCACGTTGGTCTTGTAGTATGCCCAGTCAATAGCTGGTGGGGTCTTGGGTAGTGCAGCCATCCTGGAGGTGAGGGTCTCGTTCCAAGTTTTCAGGGAGTTAGCAATAGCCTTTTGGTTTCGGGGTATTATTTACCCAAAAGCTACCCAGTCAATAGTTTTTAGGGCCAGTTTTTGCCCAGCCATCTTGTAATCCTTCACCGACCCCCTCTCTTCAAAACTTCTTGAAGAACTGGTCTGGTGTTGGTAAATTCTTTCAGGTTTTGTTTATCTGAGAGTATTTTTATCTTTCCTTCCCATTTGAAGGATAATCTTGCTGGGTATAGTAATCTTGGTAGGAATTGTTTTTCTTTTAACACATTGAATAGATCTTCCCATTCTTTCTTTGCTTGCATTGTTTCCACTGAGAAGTCTGATGTTATCCTGATGGGATAACCTTTGTAAGTAACTTGATGTTCCGCATTTGCCATTTTTAGTATCCTGTTTTTTATCTGTGATTTTGATCATTCTGGCTATAATGTGCCATGGAGAGGATCTTCTTGGGTTGATTCTATTTGGGATCCTTTATATTTCTTGGGTTTGAATGATTGATCTCATCTCTAGGTTTGGGAAGTTTTCTGTAAATATTTCATGGAATAAACCTTCTATGCCCTTATCAGACTCTTCACCTTCTGGAATACCTATTATCAAAAATTTGGGCATTTTGCAGTATCTAGTGTTTCTAGCATATTGTCCTCATTTTTTAAAGAGGTTTTTGCTATAGGGTGTGTGTGCTCACCAGAAAGAGTAGGAGACAGTGAGACAGAGAGCAAGAAATCACCCCCCCCCAGGGGGGATGGCCATGCTGCAATCCCTTCTCCTCTGTTCTCCTCTCAGGATCTTGGGGCATGCACGCACATGCACCGGTGTGAGTTTAAGCCACCAGGTCCGAGACTTGAACTGCGGTCGACTATGTGGGAGTCCAGCAACATAGCCATTACACTAACTGCTGGTCCCTTATTGTCCTCATTTTTTAAATTTATTTTTTCATTATTTTTGGTGGTTTTATCTGGTCAAAGATTTTGTCTTCTAGCTCAGAGATTCTGTCTTCTGTGTGGTCCAGTTAATGTTAGTACTTTCAAGGGAGGTCTTGATTTTCTTTATTACTGCCTTTATCTCTGGGAGTTCTGATTGATATTTTTTTAATGGTTTCTATCTCCTCCCTCAAATCCTGGAAAATCTTCCTTATTTCTGTCACCGTAAATATTCTGGACTCT